GCACAAATACAGCATGGCTTTGTTGTCTAAGCTGTTACAAACACCAAATTATTTCATCTAGCGTCCCCTGTAGTATCCTAAGAATTGTTAAAAAACAAACTCCAGATTATATATACCACGCCACCTTGCAGCAGGTGCTACCTACATAGGCTATCCCCCCTCGGCAGCCTAATCCCCAATTCGTTTGGCAATTTGCCAGATTTCCCCTAATGAGCGGTGCCTGCGAGAAATGTGTTAATTAAGCGGCTCAATGTGGCAGCTGTTGTGCGGCTCTGATTCGGCATTCACCGACCTCCATAGATGGCATGGAAGGGGGACAGGTGTCAGGTATCCTAGGCCCGAGTTCCAACAATTGCGACCCCATAATTTAGCCAATTGTCAGCGGTGAAACTTGGCTAACTTCGGTCGTTTCTGCCTCGGCCGCACCCATTAATTATTTTAAAGTAGTTGGTCGACGCGAGTAGTTGGCTTTTCAGCGCGCCGGATTTATTGACTGTGCCACAAAACTTTTAGCATTCAGAGAGCCCCTTTCGGAAGGGGCTTCGAATGGGTTTTAATAGCAAATGTCGGCAATTTGTCGGCGGCGACAAAGCGAAATGGCTTTTAAATTGAGCCTCACTCATGTACGCGGGCGTGTCGAGCGCCCACATGCACTTATTGATTTTGTTCGGGGGGCGGGTCTGGATGGGGTCGAAGGTTAATTAGTTAATTGGCCAGGTGAACTCTGGTGGTCAAGGGGAGAGGCAAAAGCCAGAAGATGCGTGTAAGGGGGAGGACTGCAAGTGAATGTCTAATTACAAGACATAAATAAGCAAGTAAGGCTCTATTTACCATCATGTTTATTGTCTTACATTTATGTATAGGCTATATTTCCTATGGATAGACCATCCTCACGGTGAGTCACTCATCAGAACTCATCATCGTTATAGTGTCCAGAGTCCACCGATTTAAGATTTCTCCCTCAATTCATCAAGCGAAGCCTGCTCCAATTGCCACACCCCCTGGAACAAGGGTTATTGGAATGGAAACGACCCAGAGATTCATGGCCAACACACCCACAAAATGCTGCTTACCTCTTCTCCAAAAATTAGGGCCTCCCTGAAAGTGGAGCAAACGGCGAGTCCCGACAGCGGCGCCCGATTGGGTTCCCGAAAGCGTATTTTAATACAAATCGCTTGCCATTTATCTCCGGCCATTAATTTATAAATATAACTAAGACGGCTTCTAAATAAAAACCGGAGAAATAAGCTCGCGTGCACCGAGTGGGCGTGGCTGCGGAGCGCGCCAAATGGGCGCTCATTAATTTCCACAAAATGAGGGAATATTCCCTCCAAAACCGAAGAACCCGAGGAAATGCATCAAATTGAATTCGTTGGCGTTGGCGTGCTCACAAAAATAAATAAATATTCGTGGCTAATTAATGTTAATTCTCACGAGGGCAGCCACACATAAATTTTCCACTCCGAGAAATGCACAATTATACGAAATTAACAAATCATTTGTGTGGCAATCTGTCAAAGACTGCAATGTTTATACTTCCTACACCTTACAATGGTCCCCCTCTCGGCTTACACAGCAATTGCAATTTCACTAAATTGGCAATTTATTAAAGTGTTTAATTAACGGAGACAATGGATATGGCTTGCGCCTATTTCTAAGGCGAAGATTTCACACTCTTCTGTTAATTTAGAAAATGCTAACTAAAGGATAAAAACTGGTTTAATCTCTAATTAGTTGTCAGCTTAGTTCAAAATGTTTATTCGTTAGAGATAGTAACTTTTATTCTAAACAAGAATAAGCTTAAATTATAGTTACTGTCGACAATGTAGGCTAAGAATAATCAAAACAATTAAATACATTTTGTTTTGAATAATACCTTGCCTCGAATTGAATTCTCCCCACTGCCCTAGGGTATTCAGCACTTAATTAATGTTTATTCGCTAGTATTTGTTGACTTTTCGCCCAGCCGATCATTAAATTGCAATTACGTAATGGCAAAACTGGCAGCGGTTTGAGGCGTCGTCATCAGCGTGCTGCTGGTGTGTATTTCCCATTAAAAAGGCATTAAAAAACGTGGTCCGAGGTCCCGAGGAATTGCAATTGGCATCGTGGCGGACAGCACCCATGCCCACCTGCCAGAGGAGGGATTCCTGCCCATTGGGAGATGGGATCACTGCTCCTGATCCTTTGGCTCTGGAGTCGATCAGCGTGTTATTTATGGCGGCGAGAAAATTAACTTTTCCTGCTGGCTGACAAGGAACCAATTTGCCAATTGACGCCTCAACCTCTCGGGCAACTTTTGGGCTTCGATTGCTATTTGCCATTTGGTATTTGCTATTTCTTATGTGCTATTGGGCATTTGGTACTTCTCTCTTTTGGCCCAGTCTTTCAATTAAATTTATGAGCCAACGAACAGGAGGCGCCACAGCCGAGACTGCGCTGAGAGCTGAGAAATCGCTGATTTACGGCCTGGAAACGAAGGCGACTGGGCCCCAACACTTTGCAATTATTAAACGTAGCATTTTAACTGCTGTTCCAAGTACTGCTGCCGTTATTGCCATTGCTTGCTGCCTGACACCGCGTCTCCATCGACCGCCCACGATGTGCGCCAAATGAGGTTTAAACTGCAATTCCGTTTACATTTGGCAAACTTTTCCCATACAAATTGCCGCTAAATAGCTGAACAGCTCAAGCCCCTGCCTGACACAACAATTTCAACGCGCGACTCCTACGCCGGTGCCAGCACGTCCGATTTTCCCTTAACCCTCTAATGGAGGTTCTTAAGAATTACATTTAGTATACATTTTTAGTCACTGATGTTTTCAGTTCTTGTGGTTTTCAGATTAAGTTCTAAAATAAAAAATTTTAAGTTTTTGAGATAAGGGAACATACTATAATTCTTCATTAAACAAAAAGACTAAGTGGAATTGTAATAAAATGAACAGAAAATAAAAAATATATTAGGGATTGTATTGTAATGCTATTGTTGGCTATTACCCTTAAATTATGAAAGAAATTGTAGTTTATCAAAGGGTTAATGTTGCAGCTGCTGCTGCACTGCAGCAAGTGTCAGGCCGTCAGACGACTCACAGCCCTACTCCTCCCCTCCACCTGTCAAATTTGCAGTGCCTGGGGAACTAATGACGCCCTTAATATGCTCCAAGTGCCTTGCCTGAAAGCCATTTCCCTTTCGCTTTGTTTTCAAAGTCATCGCCAAGCCATCGCCATCGTCTTTGCCTTCGTCATAGTCATCGCAATCGCGGCTGGCAGACACGCCAAAATCAAACGAAGGAAAGAAAGGGTTTGCCAACGGAAAAGCCCAGAGGAAAATCCAGGTGGAAAGTCGATTTAACAATGCACTTCTTAGTGCTGCAAAAAAGGTTAAATAAACGATTCGCAAAGTAATGTTGGCATTTATTATAATATTTATTATTATTTATTTGAAAGGCTTAACTAAACGAATAAGATATTAAAGTCAAGTTAAACAACAAATTGCGGAGAATGCAATTATAATTCAGTAAGAGGAAAAAATAAATCCATTTGAAAACCTGAAGTTGTTTTTTAGGAAACCTCATTTTGTTTTCTTTATTTATATATCAATTGATACTAACATTTTCCTATATAATATTTATTTAAATAAAATACAATCTGATTAAATTTAAGGGAATTGCGATGTTAATTGTGCATTTCCAATCTTTTCACTCGCCTTTTTACACTGTTGACTGACATAACCAGCAACATGTTGACCGAATTCTTCTCCTGAGCCGCTGTCCAATGAAAATATTTGCAAAAATGTTCGCTATCAGAGCGACAAACAAACGGGGGGACACAGACACCAACGACTCCTCCTTGAAATGCCACCCTCGAGTGGCCGCCACCGGGAGCCAGTCGAATCCGAATCCTAGGCAGGTGTCGCGGCTAGACAACTTCATTTTGTGGGTCGGGCCTAGAGACTCATAAATTTGCAGCCCACGGAGGAAACGCAGACGACCAACTGATATATATATAATTGCGCGTGTGGGCAGGGGCCCCTTTTCCAGCTGCAATTAAGTAATTCTCACATCGTTTATGCAAAATACGAATTTCCATTCACCCCCGTGATATATACACTATATACACCTCGATATGGTTCGGGTTATGGTTCTGGTTATGCTGATTGCTCGCGTGCAACCTCAACACCCTTTGCTTGTAGTCAAGTGGCCCATAAATTGTTGGCCAAGTTTTCACGGGCCCGCCCACTTTTCGTTGCTTTGCTGCTTTGACAACGGCAATTACCTTGAACTTTTTGCAGGGCCTCGGAAACCGAAAACCAAAGCCGAGCCCAGATAAAAAATTCTAAAAAATATATTTACGAGTTTATGGCATTTTTTTCCCCCGGTCTTATATTTATTCTTTTTTTTCGGCCAGATCTCTCTTCCCATTTTGTCAGTTTAATTTTTGGTTTAGTCCGCCGTTTCGCTTTAAATGAACCTCAAATTGCCGGGCCATTAGCTCCGGGTTGCTCCACATGCATACTATATACAAGCCCCGGGACATATCTGTACAGCAAACATACTTTATGGGCCATCGTTTGCATTTCGAATATCAATTTTTCAGTCGATGCAATCAATTTCGGCATTTTTAGCTCGTCGATAGCAGCGGCGGCTGACATTTATTTCTGGCCGCTTTATGAGACCGTAATTCGTAATTGTTGATTGCACTTTTTACTGTCTGCTGGAGACGGAGGGGGTGGAAGGAGCTGTGGGTTTCCATCAACAACTCAATAAGGGAAAAGCCTTGTTAGCAGAATAATTTTGGAACCCTTCTGCGCCGCCAAGGAGTGATTGCCGATGAAGGCTTGACGGCTGATCGATATTTATTGTGGACATGTAATGAGTTTATCATGCAATGCCAGGGACTCCCGATAAATAGATGTCATATGTGTGGATATATGGGCTATATCCAGCACGCTAGCACCTCAGAGCACCTCAGGTCCCCGTCCCCAGGAACTAGATACCTTATTTCATTTGTAATCATTTTTTATTATTTATGCTTAAGGTTGTAAACAAATTAAATTAATCTATACAGCTGACAAATAATTTACAAGATTTTCAAGGAACACAAAATAGCGGCGGCGTTGGATGCTTGGCAAACGAAGTCAGTTAGTGCTTTTCCCGCTCCCGTTCCCTGTCGCGGTCCCGATCCCTTTCCCGCTCCCTTAGGTAGATTTGCTGCTGCTGTTGCAGAAAGTGTTGCTGCTGCTGCTGGTGCTGCTGAAGCAACTGATGCTGCTGCTGTGGACTGAGGGCGGCAGAGGAGGCATCGCCGCCGCCATGCTGGAGGAACTGCTGCTGGTGCTGCGCCAGCTGCTGCTGAAACTGCTCTCGCAGTCGCTGATGCTCCTCCGCATCCATCTCACTTCCATAGTCGTCCATGTCGATCACCTCGTCTTCGTCGTCGTCCTCCTCGATCTCGTCATCCTCCTCTGGATCTTCGGCGTCCTCGTAGCTGTGCTGGGACCCGGAGCCATCGTGCTTGCCGTCATCCTCGCCATCGCCTGCGCCTCCGCCGCCCGAGGAGCTGCCCTTGTTGCTCTTGGTGTCGCTGCCATCGCCCTCCTGCTGCATACGCTTGTGCTTGGTTCGGCGGTTCTGAAACCACACCTTGACCTGCCAAAATGATTTTAAAGATACAAATAAAAGTATTTAAAAAGTTGTATATTTGACTTCAAAGCTAGCCTTCATATGAGGCTTTTTCGATAATAGCCCCCATTTAGTTTCAATATATTTCCCTTGGTGCACAATCAAAGCACAGCCGAGCTTGGGGTAGTCCCTGGCCTCTAACCCTTCCGCCTGGTCTTTGTTTTCCTTTTTTCGGCAGGTCGTAAATAAGTTTAACGAGTCTTTTAATTCTATTTACGGCCTGTCTCCCAGCTATGCCACTGGGGTGCGCCGAAGTCAAGTGCCATTCTCGTTCCCATCCCTTAACCTCCAGTGCCGCCCCTCGCAGCTCTAATAACTCAGTAACTCCGGCACTTCTTGGGCTAACGACCAGACGACATGCAATCACTTAACCCTAACCCCCAGGCCAGGCAAAGGGTTTGAACGGGCGGTGGCCAGGGGGTTGCTTATTGAATTTGATGCGCATTAAGAGAGCAAGGGCCTGGGCCAGTGGCCACTATGAGGAGGAGCTTAAATTTTTAAATTAAATTATATTTACAATTTTATTTTTATTTTTTGTTTTCCCCCATATTTCAATATTAATAAAAAATACCTACTTTTAAAAAAATCTAAGACTGGAAACTTTAAATACTTTTGTATAACCTCTCCCGCAACTCACCTGCGTCTCGGTCAGGCTGAGTCCTTGGGCCAACTGCTTGCGCTCAGCTCCCACCACGTAGTGGTTGCCCTCGAAGGCATGCTCCAGCTTGAGCAGCTGCGTTGGCGAGAAGGCGGTGCGAACGCGTTTTGGTTTGCGGAATGGTTGGAACAGGAAATCTGAAAGAGATCGAATGGGGCAATGACCAATGGACTTATTTATCAATTTGTTGTAATTTAATATATATAAAATATCTTAAAGTGTTATTTATGTTGGGCATCCAATTCTAGTGTTCTTCTGAGTTTTAGAGCCAGGGTCCCGGAACCCTTTCCCACTGCCAATTAGATGACGCTGCGTCTCAAATTGCTGATTTGGAATTCCGCGAATGCCGCTGGCCAAAGGATGCCGCTCGGCACACTTGGCCCACCTTGCCCCAGCCCACCTCACCTCCACATGTTGCACAACACGCTCATTACAAAACAATAAACAAATTTCCAGACATGGGCCACCGGAGCGAGCACAAAAGGCTTCTGGTTCGTGCCGCTGTCGGCGCTGTGTCCGGACCATGTCCCGGAATCGGAATCGCTGATAAGGCCAAAACAATTGGCCAGCTTGGAGCACAGCTCGGCTCTTGACTCAGCTTGGCTGGCCTTCCTTTTTTCCCTGGACGCCAAGCCGAACACTTTAGCGCGCCTAAAAGCCGCCAACGACGCCTCTTTGGGAGGAGCAGCAGGAGCTGGCCATTGTTCTTCGCTCCATTCCAGCAGCACAACGTGATATTTTGACGTTTATCACGATTTCTGGGGAGCCAGCTCCCCCCGGTTACCTCAACTCGCTCTTAGCCAACTCCAAAAGGCGGCCTCAGCGTTGCGAGTTAACAAATTTTCAATTGAGCCACAATTTGAATATTGATATGAAGCAGAAGCTACCGTGCGCGATGCAGCCGAGATTTCTGGAGGAACAGCAGAAGAACCTCCTGTGATTTTTAGAGAATTATAGGCTTCATTGCTTCATGAGAAATATAAAGGCAAGAGTTATGATTTAGTATTTTTGGTTAGTGTATTGAATTAATGCTGGATTTACTACACTTTATAAATTGAAATAATTTATAAAATATGTGGGCATAAATAAACATTTTAATAAAGCAGCCTTATTTGTACAGGATCAATGTATCCACCTAAGATAAAAGGTAAACAAAACTTTGTTATCTTAAAAATTTATGATTTCCTTGTATACGATATGACTTTGTGTCAAAAGCAAAACAATCTGTATTCATGAGCAACTGCCATTTTAAAATCTCACCACTAATCTCAGTAAGGATCGTCAATGGGTGAGCTTGTTACCCTGGAAGTTTTGTTTTTCTAAACACCTATAATCCGAGTCCCAGATCTGATCCCCAGCTAACCATTCTTCGCCTAACTAGACTTGTTGTGATATCATTTAGCCAACAGGCCCTGAGCTACAAGGTGTGCCAATTACTAAATAAATATTGACGTAGCAGGATCGAATCGAACCGATTTTGGAGGCAGGAAGTCCCGAGTCGGCACAGCACACAAAACAGTGTCTAAGCCACTGGGAAAATAAACAGCTAATAAACAGAAGGGACAGGGCGCGAAGCTATTAGATGTAACCCCAGAATGTATCTTGTATCTTAAAACTCGTGCATTGTATCTTGTTAGCGCAGAACAAAGGACGCAGCCGGAGGGACACCAGAACTTGTCAGTTCGACACTTCATAAATGCAGCCTCGAGCCATTGATGGCCCGATGGGCCTGAGTAGCTGGCAGATGCGACTGCCTGAGTGCTGGATGCTGCGGCTGGCTCTGACGTGCGTGCCTGGTTTTTGCTATGAACTTGACAAACGATTGCCGGAGGAAGCGAGCCCCTGCAGCCCGAAGAGTGATCTAGTTTCTGTTTCTTTTTTTACGAATCGCTTGACATTTGTTACATTTGACAGTTAACAATGTTGCTACAAGATACACGACTGCCCAGCGCCTTAGAAGTGTCACTATATCGGCGGCTTCCGTACACGACTGAAAATCTTGTACCGATCTTAAAAGTACTCTAGAAGGAAAAGTTGGAATTTTTCCTGCTGTAACTATCAAGATTTGATATTAAGTTCCATGAGCTTTTCCGTATCTTCCCAAACCGAAAGGCAGTGTAGAAATATCTTTCCACTGTTGAACTATCCAGGATATACAGCAGCATTAAGATTTTCTCGTCGTGTAACTCCATAATTGATAATGCCGCCGCTCTCACAATGGCCACTTAATTATTTTTTCCTCTAGCTCCTGCAGCATCTCTCAATGAAGTGTGTGTATTTTTTTTTAGGTGCGGACACAAAAGAAACCGCCGTGCGAAAATACGCGCAATTGACAATTAATTGATGTGTCCGCTCTTGGCTGCCGGCCGTGTTTGTTGCTGGCTCACTACTCCTGCTCACACCCTTGTCAGCTGTCATTTTTATATATGTACTTATTTTTGTATTTTTTAGCCCCTGATGGATCAATGCGATAGCATTCGTTTCGTTTTCGCTTGTTCGACTGACTGTCGACTGTCCTTTTTGTTCGCCTTATTATTTATCACTTACGCTAACGTTAACGCTGTGTGCAATTGTGTTCTGTTTGCTTTTTTATGGAGTTAGGGCTTAATTTTTATGCTCTCATGATTTTTTTTTTTTATTAATTTATTGCATTCCGCGAGGACATTGGCCCTAAATCGATAATTGAAATCAAGCGCTATGACAGGCGATCGAACAGAGGGGTATCGCCATTTGCCGTTGGGATATGTGAATAGGGTTTCTTTGTGGGTTTTGCAAAGAAGATGATTCTGTATCTAAAGGGTGTTGAAGTGAATTAGTTTTTTTAATTGAAAGCAGAGTTTTTACTGAATAAATACCAATGGTTTTATAGCAAAAAAACAGTATAATAGACTGCGAAATTATTTCACGTGCCCACACGTTTCAGTTATCCAAATTATTGACTATACTCTCTCTTTCAACAAGTTGGATCTATTAACAAGCAGCCATTAAATATAGTCAAAGGAATACGTGTATTGGTTTTTCACAAATAAGATTACAATGGGTGTACCTCTAACCCTTTTTTTTTAACTTCATTAGAAGGGTAACGCCCAGAAATAAAAGCAACACGTGCAGCCTGAATTGAGCTACTGACGCTTCATCATCGGACCCACTATCTCCGGATTCCGATCCCCAAGCCCAAGTCAGCAAGTAACCTGGCATTACTCACACTCCGGTTACAAGACAAACGAAGAAGACGAAGACATTTACAATTAATGAAATCGTTAAGCGAAACATTGACATTTTACGTTCATAAATCAAGCGAAAATTACGGGCAGAAATTGGGAGAAAACGCAGAAGCCGCGCGGGAAATGGGGAAAAAGGGAGAAATAATGGAACAGCACACAACATAATTAAGGCGTAACGGGGATATGTACACTTCAGCAGGTGAAAGGCGGCGGAGTGTGTGAGTGTGCCGAAAATTATTTACATTTACCAGCCCAAAAAACTCGGCACGAATAAAATACACGAAAAAACATGGCAGAGTCCGGGAAATATGTTAACATGGCATGAAAATTCAAATGGTAATTATGAGAGCAGCGAATGAAAAAAAATAAAAATGTGGCTAAAGAGTAATAAATGACATTGTTTTTGAGATGCGCTTTGCGGTTTCTCTTCATTTTCTATCTCTGCGTTTTTTTTTACTTCGTTCTTGGGTTCTTTGCTTGGTTGCCCCAAAACCTCAATTAAAAACGCATTAACATTTCACTCGTTGCACTCTTTAGTGTGTACAGAGAAAGAAAATCAACAAGAAACTGCATTGGTATTATTTTATTTTGGGTTTTTAAACAAAAGACTACTGCAGATTCCTAGTTACTTATTAAGATATAAAACCAATTCCCTGACATTTCTCTCATAAATATTTGGTTTATATAAAGTTTTGAAAATATACATTGGACACTGCACATGTTTCCTCCAACAGTGTACTTTTTTCAAGTGTTGCAGTGTATCCGTTACACATACGCCGCATGGGCCCGGCAACTGGCGCCGTCTGTTGGCCATTAATGGTGATTCCGACTCCGACTCCGCAACGCACACTCGCACACTCGCACACACTCACACACTTGGCTGGCCATTTAGGTACGCTGCTTGACCTAACGATGTGTGTAATGTTGTTTAAACAATTTAATTAAAATGTAATTTGTTTGGAAATAGTTATCAAAATGGGTTTGGTTCGGCTTAGCTGGGACTGCCTTTCTCCCGAGCGACTGTCGCCGGGTCTGTCCTCTCTGCTGATGATGATGAGGCCGATACACGTCTAATTAACTTGTAATAAATGTTTGCCATTTGCTTATTTCACTTTAATTATATACAAGAGCGGCAACAGCAGCGATAACTGAATAATTGCTTGATTGAGGTTCTCTATTATAATGGCGGCGGGAGAATCGGATCGGATCGGACCGGGCAGAAGGGGTTCGAATATGAGGTTTAGGTGTGGTTTCTCTGCTGCTTTCAGCGGCCATTTGAAATGGCCATAATGACTAGAAGAATTCCAGTTTGCCTGAGCGAAAAGTGCTTACCAAAAACTGGTATTTATATTTCTGGTTTTACGTCAACATTAAGCTCATTAAACCTATTCAAAAATGTATGAAATCTTATTATAATGCTAATATTTTAATAAGCATTTTGTTGTCTTTCTAGCAGACTCAATAAAGTTTAATGAACAAATTAAATTAGTTAAATTATTGGTCTTATTAATTATGGATTTCAGAAGTGCAATATTCTTATATATGTGAATTACCTTTAATTCGCAGGTTAATAAGAGAAGGTCCGGCAATAACTTAGGTTCTTATTACACTTCATTAACTCAAGTTGCCATGAATTAATTTACTGCCTTTTACAACTGCAATTTTACTTTTTGATATTCATTCTAAATAATAAATCAATTATATGTAATTGTTGAGTTCCCCCGATAAGCTCACTAGTGCTTCAATCAATTGATTTTAATTGCTAAATGTACCTAATATGCATATGTTTACAATTTCTCACTTCTGGTATTGGCTGAGAAGACCTATAATTAAGAGAATCATTAATAGTTGTAGCTATTGAAATCGAGTTCTGTAATCAAGTTGAACCACTGGGGAATGACGGTATTTAAGGATTTAAAATCTTAAATAAAAACTGTAATTTTTTTCGCTTAAAGGAATTGTTTAAAGTTTTTTATTTTTATATATTCCATTCCCTGTTTAGAAAATGAGCTTCTAGGATGTACTTACTGCCCGGGAATCGTGGAAAAATCCGTCCGTGCCGACTGAGGAGCCACGGATACAGTGGATAGCTGTCGCGGATTAGGTGTGGAGCCGTCGCGAAGGGATGATGACCGTGTGGCGGCGGATGGACGGGATGGGGCCCACCCGGAAAGATACCAATGGGTATCTGGCCAGGAGGCAGATGTGGGGGCGGACCGTGTGGCGGTCCAGTTGGCACTGGGGGATGGGGGTGCTGTTGCTGCTGCTGTTGTTGTTGCTGCTGGTGGTGATGAGCCAGGGCAGCGGCCATTTGAAACTGGGCGGCGAGGAAGGGGGGTGGTGGTGGATGCGGCGGTCCGGCCGCCACTCGCACTGCCATCGCGGTTGGCGAGGTGCGATTCTGGATTAAAGCTAGATTTGGCGCCGGCAGAGGCATGGGACGGATGAGGGTTCCTGGCGGAGGATCTACAGCCGATTGCGGGGTGGCCTTTGCTCCGGCACTCGGTGGCGTGGGTCCTGGCGTTGGCGATCGGCTGGCCGGCGACCTGGGCGGACTGCGCGATCTATCCAGGGAATCCCTGCGCCGACAGTAGATGAATCCGCGCGGTGACCGCGTGCCTGTGTTCCTAGGCGACGACGGGCTCTCGCTGCGCTCCGCCGGCGAGGATATCACGCTGACCCTTAGCGGAGCGGCCGGAGTCCTAACGGAGTCCGCTCCCACGATCGAATCGATGCTGAAGGCCAGCTTGGGCTTGCTGCTCACGGAGGTGGTGGCACTGGACACGGGCACGGATGTGGAGGCGGCAGCAGCAGCGGTGGCTACGGAGGAGCTGCTGCTGACAAAAGGACTCGTCGGCGCCATGGGCAGCATGTTGAACGTTTGACGGCCGCAGGTGACCATTTGTTTGACGGTTTAATTGATTAAAAAATAAATAAGCTACAGTCCAACTTCTCAGAACCCGAACTATTCCAAGTGGAAGTCTCTGCAAGTCGAATTGGGTTGTAAGTAAATGGAATTCATTGTCTATACAGTCCTGGATTCCAATAAAAAATCGAACGAGCTTTTAAGGATTTGTAGTTCAAGAAATTAAATGAGAAGGAAGATTGATTGGATGAGTGTTAAAGAAATAAATCAAACCAAACTACTTTTGGACATTGAGATTAATTTTTGGAAACTCAAAGTTATTAATGTTGAGGAACAAATGATTTACCAACAAATTCTAATAAAGCGAAATCGATAAAGGAAAACTGGGCTGTATAGATTGATATTAAATTTTGTAAGCAGGGGATTTGAAAATTTGCTCGCGTACAGTAGTCACTCGCTGATAAACACACACGCACTTTCCGCGGACGACTGGGTCACTAGATAAACTGGATCACTAGATGGCCAGTGGCATTGGCATCGGTATCGGCGGTATCGGCATCCGCAATGTAATGCTCCAGCGGTCGGCATCCGTCGGTAGCTTGACATTGATAAAATGGAGCGGCTGTGGCGACGGCGCGGCGATCCAAGCGTGACGTGACCGTACCGCTTCGATAAACGATTGACGGCGGCGATTGACTGTAACGGTAACAAAGCGTCTGCTGTGTCTGCGTCTGCGGTTGCCGCGCTGCCCTGATGATGAGCACTGTCAACGCCATTAGCATTATGGAGCGTCTAAAGGCGTCTAATTGTTGGCTCCACTCTGCCGTGTCTCCCTCTCTGTCATGCGGTGCCCTCTCTTTTTTGTGGGGGCGTCGGCGAATCACTGCGTGGCTCTCACGCTGAGCGTTATGGCTCGAGTGGCGCGTTCGGAACTCACGGAAGGTTAGTGGGGCAGTGCTGCTTCTTCTTCCGCTTCCAGTGGAGCCCACAGCACAGTGGCCGTCCCGCTTGCACGCGGCTGGCAGTGCGCCTGCGCCAAAGCAGCGCAGAAATAGCTCCCCGTCATGCTCAAAAACCTGCTCAGCTCCACCAAGTGGAGCCACCTCCTCTCTCGTTTGGCGCATACGAGTGTATGAGTGGGTTAGCGCTCTCTCCCGCTCTCTTGGCCATTTTTCGCACCAGTTTATGACAGCGAAACAAACAATTTGCGCTAAACAAAACAGCATCATTAAAGCGTTTGTGGTTTTAGTGCCAAGCGGGTTGGCCAGGGGCTTCAGAGAGGAGCGGTAACAGTGGGTGAAAACGTGGATTTCCGGGAGAAATTTAATATAAGTTCTGAAATATCAGTAGTAACTTATTTTTAAAGTAACATTTTATTTTCGTACAGGGTGGGTCCTCAAATTAAAACCATTGAAAACCGACAATTATATTGCCAACGCTAAGCTTGATTCAAAAGTCGTGTGAATATTTTTCCTTTATAATCTCTTACACGTGGTAGAGGTTGTTTTAGTTTTCCTTTTAGGTGCTGTGCAGTTCCAACCCACTGTGCATTGGCATCAACGTCATTGCTCATATTCGTATAGCTTAGACGCCCCGTCGTCAGAGCCAAGCACTTCTCATGCTGCCCCCTTGCCACTCACCCACTTGCAGTAATCCCTCAGATACATTCCCCTTCCAGTTCCAATCTCTTGCCCCTTTTGGATACTTCACCATTTGGAATTGGCTCGAATTGGCATCTGCATGATGTTGGTCGAGAGGGCATTTGAACACGAAAATGGGCGGTAACTTGGTTTCTACACCTTCTGCTCCATGCCACCGACACCGACACCGACACCAAGCCCAGGCACAGATACAGATGCAGCCACTCTGGCGCACTCACGGATACATATGTATCTGGTCAGCTCGGGCTTCAGTTTCAGCACTCATCCTCATCCGCCGGCTGTGAGTTGTGAAAATAAACACCTCGTTAAAGATGCAGGAGGAGGTATAAAACATGCAGCGCCAACATAGGTAAATATACACACAGATGCACTCTTGCCTCCTCTGCTGGCCATGAATGGATGTTGGCCGAAAGGAGCTGGGCTGGCTGGCTGGCTGGCTGGAATAAATTGACGTGCGCTTGGCTGGATTTGTATGCATCTAGATAAGGCTTCCCCGTCGATTCGATGGAGGAGCACAGTTGCTGCCTCAGATGCAGCTTGTATCTGTATCTGTATCTGTATCCGTGTGGCACCTCTGGGTGCGGTAATTGTAATTGGTTTTTGCTCTTTTATTTCTGTATTTTCTGTATTTTCCCTTCCATCGGCAGGCAGGCAGGCACAGACACAGACGCAGGTCTCACGTTTCGGGATAAATCATTTAATTAGTCAGACAATGAGCTCTGGGAGAGCGCTTTATGGCCGCTCCATCACGCGAAAGGTTATCGATCGCCAATCAATGGCTTTCGGGGCGGATTTTTTGGCATTTACCGCACTTGATATACGGCCAGAAGGTGGGTCCAAGCTGAGATAAGGGACAGTATACTTTTGCCTTGCATCAGTCCGTAGAAGTTAAAGGCGTTTAATATTGTGAGCCAAACAAATATTTTTTGATATAACATACGATTTTGGGCAAAGTTTAATGGTATAAAATAATTACGGTTAAGATCAACCACATGGTCCATGATTTTCCCGTAATCCAAATATTATGAGGCTAGGAAGAACCTGACGTGAACGGTATCCAGTCAACAATAAACTTTTTGAGGAAAAATATATAAATACATACAGTTAAAGAATGGTCACTAATAATTTATTTAAATTGGCAGTACGCTTATTTAAAGTTTTAGTTTTTAGTTAAGGTCTGATAACTGAATGATTTTTTTAGAATTTGATTAAGTAATCTAAAATTGTCCCAAAGTAACCACTTAATATATTATTAAATATTTTTCCGCTAAGCAGAAGTACTATTTTGCATTTAAAAGCAAACTAATTAAAGGCGTCCAAAATGCCCTCTTCTTCCAGTGGAAGTGCCAGTGTTGTTGTTGTTACTGTCTCATGCGCACATGGGAAATGCGATCCACAAGTCGAGTTTCCACTCCTTGTTCCACAGCGGTGCCGGCGAGCGAGATAAACAGGCCCAGCAGCTGTCGGTGATTGGCTGTTGGCCGTATCTGCGTGGCGGCGAGCGAGACAAAGATACGTGACAGCTGCTAACAAGGGGGTTGCACCATTGGAGTGAGCGGTAGGACGGCCAGGAGGCCAAGCAGTGGGATGGAGCAGGAGGAGGGGTGCTGCAGCAGCGAATAAATCCAATTCATTTAATAATTGCCAACGAGATGGAGCTCATTATCAGGAGTACTTTGCACGGCTTTGCCAGAGATACTCTCCGGGTGGCGGGTGGACCGTCAAAGAGGGAAGTGGGAGAAGAGGAGTGAGTGCTGATATCGCTCTCACACGGAGAGGGAATCTGTATCTAATACCCTATCGAATGTAGATACAAAGATACGAAGATACTTAGATACTTTCCCCCTACAAAATGAAGAGAGAAATAAGTAAAAATTCTGATTTGTTCGAACAAAAATATAAAAAAGATATATCATAGATTTATTATATAAAGAAAACCGAAACATTTCATCTTTTATCTTCAACAATTAAGGGTATAAATATTGATGGGGCCGCCTCAGAGTTTTGGCTTAATGCGGCTGTGTCGCAATCTAATCCGCAAAAGTATTTGCGAGATACGCAGGTACTGTATCTGTGAGCGTTCGTCTCGTTAGCGTCTTTTATTAGACTCACAAACGGAGGCCCAGGGAACCGAGGCCGGAGCTGAAGTAGAGACTGATGCGCGATGATGGCGACGGCTTTTCAGTGTCAATTAAAACAACTTCGCGTCTGTGTGGATGCTGCGATGGCCAGATGCGGGGATGGATGGAGATGGATGTTTGGCGAAGGCATAATTGCCACAAGGGTTGGCCATTCCGCCATTCCAGAGACCAGACACCAGACGACAGACCACCGCCATCTCCGTTGCTACCATCGCTTCGTGTTGACACAGCTAATTGGCTTTATTTGTTTTAATAATTGAGCATTTTCGGCACTGATTTAATTAAAAATTTCCACTCGCAATCGAAAGGGTTTCCGGTTCCACACCGCCCGCTCGGTCGTGACACTTTCGTGTTTGTCTGGCCGAAACGGAAGTTTAAATTGAATTTTAATAGCGCGGATTTGGTGCACAGGGAACAATATTTTGATATTTGCCGAAGTCTTTTAAAGATTAAATACTACTTTCGAATTTCTGAAATACGTTTTATATTAAATGAAACACTTATCCAGTGTTTAACTGCCGTTTTGGCCTAATCGTGAGACTTAATTAAATGCCAATAAATATTTTGCAACTATTTGCAATGCTTAGTCGCAGATCTCAGATCAGTTGCGATTAGAACATCCTCGTTGGAGGATAAATCCTCCCTGAACTTAAGCCCGACCGAAAGCTGCGCGTTTAAATCCGCGGATTCTGGCCCCTGGATCTAGCCAAGGATCTTGCCCTGCGGATCGGCGCATTTAATCCAATTATCGATGCCTTCTCATCCAAACTGTGCTGACTTGGGAGAGTAAGCGCTGAGTCGCTCAAATTGTGGGCGGGTGACGGGATGATCAGGTAACAGAAGCCAGGTAATTCGTTCCCAGAAAGTGGGAGAGGGACGACGGCGACGAGGAAGCGAGGGAGAGAGAGTGCCGCCGAGCTCTGCTGATTAATTAAAATTTCGATCAGCTCGCAAACGAGGGCCATTATTTAATGAGTTTTTTATGAGATGTCAGGTGTGGCAAGTCTCTGACTTACACAGTAAGAAAACGCGTTATTTGTTTTTTTAATAAATTTTGTTGATGCCTTAGGAGTTCTAGTTGTTGGCTTTAGGAAGCAGTATATGATAAGTTTTTAAAGCCAATTTATTGGTTATGGGAATTAAAGAAGTCAAATTATTTTCCATTTTTTTCTCGAGTGTAGCCCAAGTGGGTGTGGCATTAATTATATATGGAGTCGTGGAGATTTGGATATGGCGATCGAGGCGCGACAACTGCCGCAAATTATCGCAAATTTGCGGTGTTCGTGGGATGCAAGCGAAATATTTTATGGCCTCATTATGCAAATGCGAATGGCAGATCGGGGATCGGGGATAGCTACGATATGGTGCAGGTAAGATGGGCAGATTGGCGGATCGGGGCTTCAATTAGACACGCTGGCCGCCCGGAAAACCGCATTGAAAATACGCCCAAGACCTGCCCGACAGTTCGATAATTGCGGTAATGCCGATAATCTGTTTCTGGGCGACATTCGCCGAGCCACCATCCCATCCGCCCTTCCGCCTACCCCGAGACCGCGACACAGCCCCTTAGTGTTGGTCAGGTCGAAAGTATGCGCCCTGTTTGTTCCTGGTTCCTTGTCGCATGCTGCTGCCGCTTTAAGCAGCATCGATAATTGGATTAAATCGCGAGGAGGTCCTTGCGCGAAGATCCTCGCTAGTCCCGGCTGATCTTTGGATTTCCAGCCAGCCCGGACTTGAGGCGCACAAATTCCGAGTTA